GTTTAGGAGTTGCCTTGTTGAATTTGATATAATAAGGAGTCTAAAGTCCTTCATGAGTTTTAATTAAAGGAAAAAGATTAGATATTGTTGGAGTGTTGAATGTTGAATTTAGAACTACGTGTGGCTTGATTCCTCAGTATGAGTACGTAGGTAGCTTAGGGTCTTACCTAGGTGCAGCCGCAGACTAAATGTTACTTATGCTGTTTTATTGAGTTTGATTCTGACCTTGTCGTTGGTCCTGAAACTCGATTGAAACCGAGGTATGATTAGTTAATTGTTCATACTCCCGGTTGTCTAAGAGAGGGTTGTGTAAATGTGTTATGGTCAAAACAGGGGTAAAACCCGTTTGGATTGCTGTATGATTTGGGCTGAGGCCTTAAACTACTTGCATTTGTGTTAGGATGTTAAACTTCACATGTTGGAATTTGGGAGGTTATTTTATGTTGATTATAGTGGGCCTTCATAAAATTGTTTGAATCCATTATTTGTATTGGTTGATTTATTATTTGACTTAAGGGCTTTGTTAATGGTTTTGCTTGGGATTATTTGAAGGCCGGAGGCCGTTTATGTAAAGTGCATGTTATTACATTGTGCATGCTGCTGATTGGGATATTAAATGTGTTTTTATGCAGGTTGGAATTTTGGGGAAAGTCCGATTTACAGGGGAGAATATGCAGAATTTTCGGCAGAAAGTCTCGTGCCCTTACTCCTTTTGAAAAAGGAGGCGATCTTTATAAGGAGTGAGCCCGGCATGGGTGTGATGCCGAGGTCTCCACAGGATTCGTCTCGGATTCCCGGAAATTCGAGGCGGGTCCTGTCATTGATTGATGATATGATGGATAAGCCAAGTGTTACGTGACTATTGAGTTTTGTTTGATTTAATTAGATGATAATGTTGATTAATCAATATGTGGACCGGTTCCGACATATTACATTTCTTTTACTACAGTGAAAACTGTCAAAATATAAGTCTCTTTTACCGTTATTCTAAATTTGACATCCACGGCCCAAATGTCAAGCGCGGGCTAACAGCTGCAGAGATTTCACTCTGGAGTTGGCGAGGCAAACGTGGAGTAGCAATTTTTATTCATTTTCTGACGGATATTAATAAGTTTCCTTGAACTGTTATAAAATCCTCCCCTTGTACTACTTAAAGCTGCCAACCGGAAGTTTGCTGCTCAGAGACACTATCCATTCACGAATAATAGAATTCACTTCAACAGGCAGTTCGTCGTGGGGGCAATGACCTGGATTTTAAAAAAACATTGAAAATAAGTAAACTTCCATGAAACTTTTGAGTCTAAATGGAGCAGGATTATGCAAGTATTTTACCCACCGGCATCCAATTCCTTGATTATGAACCCAGCGCAATGTTCTTTAAGCATAGCCACTTTTGACTTGGAATCAGATATTGGATCTCTCATTCCCTACATGACAGAACTTGATTAAGGGACCAAAAAAGAAGAAGAAGATGATCAAATGATGGAAGAGAGAGAGAGAGAGAGAGATTATATCTGCTTGTTAAGATGTTACCTGTATAATCAAAACCCTGTTCTCGAATCCATCCAAGAGATAATTTAGAGGGACTGAGAGATTGAAGCTAAAAACGCTTTCTAGGACCACTGCCACCCCAGGATCATATGACTTTCAAGTTATGTTAAGGAGATAATTTCTGACAAATTACACATGTTCTGGTGGCTCCAAAGAAAAATCAGCAGTGACTACTAGTTCCTAGAGAAACAATAAATATACTTGACATGAAAGAGGATACTGCTCTTAGCATTTCATCAATAAGCCAATTGTCGACTCGCTCTGTTTTCTGCAGAGCAAAGGTAGTAAAAACACAAATCAATACTATGAACGTGAACCATATTCAAAATATAGAGCAATAGAGATACTTACAGCTGGATAACAATTCTTCACTATGTCCTTGAGAGTCAACCTTAAGTAAAACAAAAGGAATTTAGCACCTAGCCATGAAGCACCAGAAGTTCTTCTCTCCTGAAACAGAAAACTATAATATGAGGCTGTCTTACATATGAAAGATAGGGGTCTTGCACAGTTTTAATCAAACTTACTTTGGTGAATGGCGCAGAGGAATATCCTGGAATAACATTCCCACCACTGTTGATAAGAACAACAGATTTGGCCAAAGCAGGCCAAAGACGAGCGACAATTGCAATAATATAACCTGGATATAGAAAATAGTACTGATAAGATTGAAAATACATACGTTTTTGTTTTTCAAAGATTGCCTCTGGAGAGTAACAGTTGAAAAATGAAGTAGATAAGCCACCTAGAGAAAAGAATGTAAGAGGTTGTTTAGGTAAGTTGCTCATCTCATTTCTAGTTTAAAACATACCACCAATTGAGTTCCCAACAAGATGCACTGGTTCACCCACAACTTCAATAATGAAATCTCTAAGCATTTCAGCCCACACGAGTTCAGTGTATACAACATTTGGCTTTTCTGATTTGCCAAATCCTAAAATTGTTATGGCCCAAACTCTGTTTCCACCTTCAGCAATGCTACATATGTTGTCACGGTAATGCTCCAAGAAGGCTCCAAAACCATGAACAAGAAGAGTAGCAGGACCTTCATGACCAACAACTGTATACTGACAAAAGGATAATATCATAGTGAAAGAGTATATACGCAAATTTAAAACCTAACCCAGCTAAGTATTTCTTTCAGATTAGAAGCCATGGAAAGTCTTTGAACGAGCAGAAGATCAGTTTTGAACAGAATACCTGAATTAGATAGCCTTTCCATCTCCAAATACGAATATCATATCTTCTGCCATCATTTATCTGACTTTTTAGAGCCACAAGCGAATACCACTGCCACAAAAAACAACTCAGTTGCTTAACAAATATACTATGCAAAAATAATGATTTTAAAAAAGCTAGCAACCTCACAAGGTGAGTCTCCAAAGAACCACTTCAATCAGAACATAAATATAATTAGTGCATAACTGGTATAGAACCTCCATTGAGCACACTGAATCAACAGTTGTAGCAACCGTAGCGGATGAATATCCAAAAGAAGACAGAAATCCAGAATCTCGTTCTTTCTCATACTTGAGAGCTTCAAAATGTACTCTCCTTCTGGATAGGATGCCAAGAGAAAGGGCAGGACCAAAGAGTGTAGTAAATGAAGCCCCATTCCGACTTTCAGCATATGGCATCCTTTCATGTACCCTGCAACAAAATAATCCCAAAATACCCTCTCTTTGTTTGTTAATGCAGATACAAAGAGAAAGGAATACATGATTATTTAAGGTTTTTTTCTTTCTCTAAATAACATTATAAAATATGACTACATACTCCTTCCAGTAGTGATCCCGTTCTGTTCCCTCTAAATATCGCAAGTATGCAGCCAAAGCTTTCAATACGTTGCTTGTCCCCCCTCCCACAGAATGTCCTTTCACAAAGACAGAATTCTCGTGTCTCTTTGATTGGACCTGGACATGTCTAAAACTCGAATTGATTGTATTTCTTCCTCCGGGCTTCAAAATTTCCTTCATGAGAATTGTTTCAGTCAACATCTCCTTCGTTGAAGCCCAACTCTCTTCCACTTTGCATGTATTTGCCTCCACAAACGCCATCAAATCATCAAATGTGGGGATAGCACCTAAAATCATAGTACAGTTATCCTTGTCACTAGTACGCATATTAAAAGATAGAACTTTGCTAAATTTTAGTACCAAAACAAATCAAGTACAAGTATAAGCAGAAACATGAACAATCTTGGAACTTTACCCCAGTCCAATTCCATTTCACCACCAGTTAATGTTGCCGGAGGAAGTGGCAAAGTTATCGGTAATCGAAGCTTGGTAAAATCATTGTACGAATCAGGAATATCTTTCAAACTCTACACATTATACACATTCATACAATAATTAAAATAACTACAACCACTCAATTATAAACTAACTTGATGAACAACCAGAATTCTCAAACATAAATCGAAAAACTAGTCAAGAAAAACAAAACTACCTTCACATCATAAAATGGAGTCCGCCACAGCACAAAGTTGGGCTCAGAAGGCATTGCTTCCAAGGTGCCCTTGACACTACCAGTCATCTGCCTAAATCCATACTCCACCTCCTCCTCAGCATAGACAGTGGTGACAAGCTGAACCTGTTCCAATCCTTCTGTGATGATGAGTAGTTCAACTAGTCTCTCATACACAGTAAGCAAAGCTAATATATTTATCTAACAACCTCTTTTACAAGCTCTTGTAGCGCACTCTCAGCACTTCCCAGCCTGATCATCAAGTTCGAACCTTTATCTCTCAACGAGCTTCTCAAATCTTGTAAAGCAAGCACAAGCATTTCTATCATTTTCTCGGAAAAACCTGCACATTTTAATCCCATCAGTTCATCTATGTGTATTATTGTACATCAGTGTATATATACGTCAGACTTACGGGAGATGATGCGATGATCGAAGATGTAGAGAGGAACTACAGCGTTGTGGTTAGAGGCGGCGAGGAGGGCTGGGTGATCGTCGATTCGAAGGTCGTGCTTTAACCAAACGACGGCTACGCCGGCCTTCTCTGAATCGGTGACCGCAATTTGAGCTTTGAAACGGCACCGTTTGGGTGAGAAGCGGAGAGTGTTTAAGGAGAAGGAAAGCGAGGGAAAGTGTAGGAAAGTGACGAGTGAGGCCATGTGGGAGAGGAAGAGTAGACTGTGGAATGTGGATGTGGATGTTCATGTCCATCTAAGGAAAGTAGAGAGCAAAGTTGTTATTGAGGATAAATCAGAGGACTTTGAGAGTTTGACATTGTTTGAAAATGCAGAAAACTATTTTTGTGGTGCAGAAAATTGAATCAAACACCTGAAAATTGAAATTGGGATTTTGTGGAGGAGAAGAACCCAATGCGCCACACTCTCTCTCAGTCGAGTATCTCAGTGTTTCGTTAGAGGGGTAAACGACATGTCGTTCTCTTACAGGCCAAAAAACACAAAAAAGGAGCCGAAGAAGGAAATTTCTACTAACCAACTAAACTGAAAATGGCGCTGCAAATCCACAGTCCCTCATCCTTCACCAGCAAACCCTATCATCATCTTCCTCACACTCCTCTGCTCCACTTTTCAGTCAGAACCCAATTCACAGTCAAGTCACAGACACCATCAGAGCCGTCCAAGTCCGAAGCTGAGACCACCCAGGCCCCACCCAAGAAACCCACCTCAGCTGGGCTCGGCTTTGGGTCATCTCCTTCTTCTCCAACCACGCAGAATGTGACTTCTGTCCCTAATAAGAAGAAAAGGGTAATTCGGAGGTCACCAGTGGAAAAGCCGCTACTTTATTCTGAAGAAGATGAGGCTAAGGCCAAAGAGATGGGCACAAATGAGAGGGCTTTTGTTCTTGCTTGGTTGGGGCTTGGCGGTGTCATTCTAGCTCAAGGACTTCTTCTCGCTGCATCGGGTATGATTACTCATCCCTCCATGAATTGTGATTGCACTGGTGTGAATCACAATACCCAATAAATGAAATTTTTATTGGGTATTGTCTAAAGAATAGATTTTTGTTCAGCATTTGGTTGAATTATAGGAGTTAATAGGTTTGAATCATTTGAATGTGACTGAGAGTTAAGTTAACCAGTATAGTTGTGGGATTGTTTGCTTTGACGGCTTTCAAATTGTGTTGTCAGTTATCTAATCTTGGCTTGCTAGATCTTATTGATGGAAGGAGAATTGTTTATCCAAAAATGTTTTGTGTTGCAGTAACAAACGCTTTGACAATAAAGAAAAGACCAAGCCCGTTGGCCCAAATCTGCCATTGAGACTGTTTTGGTCCAAAGAGAAATGAGGTTTAGTAAAGGGTTTTACTCATAGGTTACATCTTTGCTTATCTCAGTCCGGCATGTTAGCCAGTTAGGACTCAAAGTTCATCATTTAGAATCCAATTCAGTATCTTGTGCTCATCTGCGGTCATTCTTTTAGTCTAATCCATATAGAAAACCCTTGTTGGTCCCGAACATTCCTGTCCCTTTTTCGTGCCCAGACATATCTACCATGATACTGCACAAAATGGTTCAAGTTCTAGAACATTTGTCCAAACAAGCGGCTCAATTTGAACTGAATAATGTTCCACTCTCACTGACCGTCCTATGACTTAATTCGAAAAATCAACACAGAAACACCATTTTGATCTTCTTCCTGGAAGCGCAACACCAACTATCAAACATTGTTCACATTCAGCTCACAAACCATTCCATTTAAGAGCCTAACATATTCAGCTGACCCCCCTGATTATTGGAGTATTTCTTCACATATCTGAAAAGGCAGTACATTGTCCATAATGATTGATTACTTTAATGTAAAGAAAAAGTTTTATGCGATAAGTCATGGAAGTTATTTCTATAATCGATTTGATAAGTTACGCTTTACATTCTCTTCATGTTGCAGATGATTAGTTAATTTTCATTTCAGGCTTCCTTCCAGAAGAATGGGACAAGTTCTTTGTGAAGTATTTATATCCATCTTTTACACCAACAGTCGGCTTGTTTGTTGCTGGAAGTGTTGTGTACGGAGTTTTGAAGTATCTGCAGAATGAGGAACTTAAAGGTAAGAAATGATATTTATTTGTATAGATAGTACATGTGGAGCCAATTCAGTAGTTTTTCAAGCTGTACTTGTAGTGCTTTCATGCTTGATAGAAAGATGAATCAGCTGAGAAATTGCAAACCACCTCCATTGGATCCGTTAAGCACAATGTGCCATCCCTTGATTAATTTCTACAAGCTATACTGGAAGCCATTTTATTTTTAAAAGTCACATGGCAAAAGTTCAGTAACAGGCAGACCGTTGGATCTCACGTCTCCCAGGCCCCATTGAGGAGAACCCTCATGTTCTAATGGTCTATCCTGTCACTGGACTATCCAGATCAAGAGAGAATCCATACACAATTGTATGCTACACTGTTTTTGCCCTGTGCTCTTGGCCTTCATCCTTTTACTTATATTGCTTTATACCATAGTATTGCACCCATCAGTCATTGTTAGAATTAGAAAGGAGTAGATTATCTCGTGCAACATTCATCCTGTCTTCCTCAATTGTTAGCGATGTACTATAACAAGCTTGTCATGATTGGATTACTTGTTTGTGTTCTGCTTTGAATTTTTTCTTTTCTATACTTCCATTTTTTCTTCTCTATTGCAGTCCAGTTGCTGTCACCTATCTCTTGCCCGCTTCTTAGATATTATTAAGTTGGTTCTGGCCTCGTGACTGAAAAGTGCACTTTTCTCACCATTGAACTGTTGTGCTTATTACATCAACTTAATCCACCTCTCTCACCATGAGATCTGTGATCACATCAACTTATTTTATTTTTTTTTATTAACCCTTGAACAGACACCCTACATTATTTTCTATTTCTAGGTTTGGAACCTGTGAAGGTGGTCTGCATCTTTTTTTACAAGTTATAACCAATCAGTCAATCACTTAAGGGAGAAACTTCATTAATTTCTTATTGCATCCCTATCCCGATGTAAGGTTAGATAAAGATAAGAAACCCTTAAAGATTCCACAATGTCCACTGCTGCATAAACGATTGAAAAGGATGAGAAAGTCTTGGCTTGGGTGAGGCGGTCAGACCACATCGCCTGTGCAGCCACCCTTACAAGCAAGCAAGGGGAACCCTTGTGTTGGGACCCTACCCAGCCCCACAATGGTCCTACCCCGAATGCAGGGGGTTCCACTTGCTTGTGAGTGTGATCGTAAGGATGACGTGGTCCGACTGCCTCATCCAAGATCTTCTCGAAAAGGAAAAGGAGAGGCATATTTGTACTGACTGAATTTAATTACAATGGTTGCTGGTATAATCTCTAGGAGGAGGAGGGCTTGCAGTCGTTGTTCTAACATTAAGTCCATCTTTCCTTCATTTATTTAACCATGAGTGCTACAGTTGGTGTATTTGGCCAGAGGATCCTAACAATTGGCACCAGAAACACTTATAACTTCTGATAAATCAATCAGAAGATCCTAACAGATGGCTTCTCTTGCAATTCACAAAACCCGACCCGTCCGGCCCGACTTGTTTAAAGTTGAAACCAGAAACCAAACAAACACTAAAGTTAAAATTTTGCGACATGCAACTTGTTATATGAGCTTTCAAATGAAATACTTGTGCATTGGGACCCAGAAAGCTAGAATATTATTCATCTAGTAACCTCTTACGATACATGTCAAGGAAAACAAAACAAAAGCATACGTAAAAGTGTGACACCTATCCAATTTTATATACACAAAAACACTTGAAACTTTGTCAAAGTCCCGAGCTTCAGGCGCCGCTGCCACTTTTATAATTATGTTTTCAACACTGATTAGATTAAAATAATCAGAGTGCTAAACATTTGAGTGACACTCCTACTACTAGTACTAGCCATGTCATTCTTCCTCCATTTTCAGGTCAAAACTGATGTCCTAAATAGTTTGGATTTTCAATTTGCAAGTTGATGGAGTGAGAGCCAGCTGGGTTTTCCGCTTGAATGTGTAATGCATTTTGACCGCTAAAACTTGAAATTGTCTTTTAATACTTTCGATGGGGTAACCCAAATTGGGCCATACCATTGAACTAAACAACAAAATTCTTGAACATGAAGTCTTTCTATGGATCTGCATGATTATGAGTTTGTTATTTAGTCAATGAGCTCTTATTATTGTTACTTTTTCACACAAACAAACGATATTGAGAGGAGGGAGTCAAACCTGTGACCTTAAATTTAAGAGAAATAATATTGGAGAGGAGGAATTCAAACACGTGACCTTGAATTCAAGGGTAACTGCTCTTATTATTGTTGGTTCGTGTAAAGTAAGTCATTAAAACATACCCAACACAAGAGAAACAAATATATCGGAGCCCCCGGTGAAATTGGAGCCCCCTGTGCTGGCCAAGTTATTGCTGTGGAAACACAAAAAACAGTAGGTTGTGCTTTTCGGCGGGGTTGTCAAACAGCAGGCAACTTGGTTGGTGCCTCTTTTCATAAAAAGTAAAACTGAAAAAGCATTCAAGATTTTATTTTTTTTAAAAGATAACACAAAATAAAATAAAAGTTGTAGTATCTCGTAAGCCTCACGGCCCAAATCCCGATAAAGTTAACCTAAGAAATTTGAGAGGAGAAAGGGAAATGAAAAAATGAAAAAAAAAAAAAAAAAGAAAAAAGGAACAAGTGGGGCACAAGGTACCGAAGGAGATTTGATGAAATGCACACACAGGTCGTCTGAAATTGACACTTGATCCAGTTTGCTAATGGCATATAATAAAACATTATGATACAACCGATTTTTCATTTCATTTACCAAAAGAATCAATTGGAGTCTCGCGGTGGATGGCAATGAAATCTTACCAGTCAGTTTTGAAGGGACTCATCTTATAAGTACGTTTTGTTGGTATATGATATTAGGTGGAAACTTTCAATATTTGGCCAAACCCACACAACTGTGAGACTATGGTGAAAACTAATTGTTAGAGTTTAGGTGGCCAATCGGTATTGTCGAAAACTTAAATCATCATTGTAAACTTTATTGATGAACATGATATACGTGAGATCATTATATTTCGATTTAGAGTGATTTGTCACAAGAATGAGCAGTGTTAAGTATAGACTTGAGGTTATCATGGACAAACAAATGTACCGCTCTAACTCTGTCATTGAGTACAAGGCGTGTCCATGATCGGACAACTAAAGCAAAGGAATAGTAAAGGTTTCTCTTTGTAAATGAATGTCTACATAGGAAAAATCATGAAGGTAGGACCTATAATCCCATCTTTTTCACGTTGTGAAATCACCAAGGCTATGATGATATGGGAAAACAAGTTTAACCTCTTTAATAATCAAAGTGGAATTAAAAGAGGCATATGATTAAAAAAATAATAATTTGGAAGGAAAAAGAAAAAGAAAAAGAATGAGATGAACAATTTCTCCTATTCTAATCTTGTATTGTGGACTAGTTAAATCACAATGACCTTCACGACAAGAGCCATTGAAATTGGAAGTAAAATCATGGACCACACAGAAAAGCAAACCCTAATAACAACAAGAATCAGATGCTTATCAATCTTTCGCCATTCGCCATATCAAATCAAATTATAATAAGATTGAATTTCGGAAACAAATCATAATAATATAAGGAACACGAGCACATTTTGTTCATGCTAGACTAGAGGAATTGATAAGGAACACGAGCACACTTGTAGCCAAGAGCAAAAGGTCGGTACAGTCCAGGTCCACCAAACGTAACAGTCTCGAGTAAATGAGCACTAAATTCTTCAAGCGCGTACAGATAGATAGCCATATTACCATTCCTTTATTCATCACTGCTGCACTCTATCATTGCTCACCAAAGATACATATATCTAATTTAGGGTAATTTCTAATTAGATTAAGATACATTATGAACATATTCTAAACAGGGGAGGGGAGGGTGTTCGAAGTCGAGTGCAATGAAGCGGATACATGGACTTAACCAATTAGTCTGACCCGCATTTACAAATACATTAAATAGCTCCACCTGCTCCTAATCCTTGAGAACTCTCACACTACAAATAAGGCGGGAAAGACAGCTATTTGTATACAGAACCAGTATACAATAAATATATATCATTATTACAATAATTAACAAGCTTAACTACCTTAACTAATCATGCACTTAACAAACGGACAAGCTTCGCAACGGCCCAGACCCGAAGACCCAAAACCACCACACACAAAAAAAAAAGCCCGAAAACAGAAAAAGAAGAAGCAAAATAACCCAGAAATAGAGACAAAAGATAAAAGTAATAAACATCCGAAAATTTTACTGGTCAAGTGCATTCGGTCCGGTACAGTAATTTAAAATGTGGCTCCAAACCCACTGAACCAAGAACTTCCGTCGGATCCCATTCATATTGTACGTGGCACCATCGTGGTCGTCCAACAGCTGACCCGTGTACGAACCGCCGCCTCCGGTACCGTAGATGCCCTCGCATAGATCGGCAATCTCAACAGGGAAACTCGGGTCCTGACCCGCATACCAGGCGTTTACTAAAGGGTTGCTTGCCAGCTCAGCAATCTCGTGTGCGATAACGCTTATCATCCCCTCCACTCCTACGTCACCGTTCGGTGACTTTAACGGTTTCAACCCGGGCATATAATCGGGTACGGCGAATGGGTATGCGCACACACCCGGGCACAGTTTGGCTGAGTTGCCAATCCAAGCGTACGGCAACGTGTATCCGACGATGGACGGGAAAGTGAAGTAATGGAACCCACAGACCTGTCTGCAGAAATCTTGAACGTACACGTCATCAGATGTGAGTAGGAGGTAGAGCCCATTCTGGGGGCTGATAGGCAACGGCCGTGTTCTGGCTGTGACGGCGCTTTTGATCACAGACTGTATGGATAACCGGGTCAGGGTTTTGCCGTGGGAGTAAAAGCGGTCGTTTTTCTCTGCACCGAGGCGCACCGTACGGGAAATGTTCGCGCCGGTCTGGTCAGTGTACAGCTGTACAGTTTTCCACCATCCGGCGACGGAGGGGCGTTTGGAACCGGCGGCGGAGATTGAGTTGATGAACTCGCGGATGATCTTCTTCTGGGCCGGCTGCCACGTGCCGTACCAGATTGTGTGGACGGTTATATTGGCCGTTAGGACCGGGCCCATATGGTATTTCAAGTGGACGAACTCAGATGAGCCCTCGAATTTTTTGTTGTCTCCGAGTTGGAGATCGGTGGCGTTGGATTTAAGGTGGGGCCAGGGGCGCCATCCAACCACTGGCGCGGTGGAGAGGAGCACGGTAAGTGCGATGAGGAGGAGGAGCACCGGAGCCGGTGGCTGAGAAAACCGACCGGTACAGCCCTGGCGCATTTTAAATTTTCTGGGAAGTGGGTGAGTAAGTGTGAAGTGGGAAGAAGTCACAAGTGTCTGATATTTTTCGCGATGAGGGGTATATATAGAATAAATAATTAATTAGTTAGTTTATTTTTCTTTAATTTGGGAATCGAAAAAAAAAGAAAAAAAATGTTGGGAGGGGGAGGCATTGGTTTGCGGGTAATGGAGGACAGGTAGATTCTTAAAGCCAAGTGTCGTGAGGGACGGTGGTGGGGCCGCTAAGTCAGACGTGGCAGCAGCACCATCATGATCATCATGGTCTAATGTCGTCATCTGATCAGATTTGATCTCAGCCCTTTATGTGTGCGTGTGTTCTTTTATTTATTTATTTATTATTTTGCCGAGCGCGGGAAAATAGGCCTAAATGGAGAAGTACAAATAACAAATGTCAGGAGGTCACGCCCATTGTTTATCGCCTCTCTAATTGTATTTAATAAAGTTTATTTCTATTATTATTGGGATTTTTTTTTTAATTCGAAAAATAATACGTAAAATTTGAATTTTTAAATAATTTATATATATTTTCCATACATGTTTGAAGATATTTTTGGTGGAAATGAATTATTCTGAATTCG